AAAAAAAAAAAAGAAGATGCATACCAAGTAACCAGAAGAAAAGCCATTGCAGGTAAACAGGAGACAATACATTTACTAAAATGATTGAAGCGGGCATCACTGTATTTTGGCTCTATCAACATCGTGGTGTTTCATGGCCAGCTGTATGATATTATAAGAGCCTAGTGACATCTGTGAAGGTTCTCATTTATCCAGGTCATGGGTAGTGATGAGGCTGGGCTTGGGACAAACTCAGTTTGACGGAGGTTTTTCCCTAGCCCGTCAAAACTCTAAATGCTACCCCCCTCCTCCCGACTCAATCAGATGCGAAGATGCGCATTCCACACCCCACAGATATATATATGTCACACAAGGGCAAGAAATGCCCCCGCTGCAACTTTCAACACTGATTGAGTCAACTGAAGGGGGTGCCAGTCAGAAATTTGAGCAGGAGTGGGTGAACTCCGTGCCGATACTGGGTATTTGGGCGAGTACAAATACTCGCCTAAATGCTCCCATGCTTATCCTGATACTGGAACTTCCGCTATCAGGAAGCCGGGTGGTGAGTCATTAGCCGCCCCGGCCTTCCTGATTGGCCAGAAAGCCAGCTCAATGCATCTTTGTCACCTGGCAACGAGGGAGCATGGAGCCAGCTTCCCAGGTAAACAGGGAGTCTGGTGGCAAGTCATTACACGTCACCCAGGTTATTTAAAAAGAGAAATATGGGGTAACCTTTTTATCCCATAGTTCTCTTTGGGGTCACGGGAGGACATATACTAGCCTCCCCCCGTGACCCAAAGCTCAGCATATAGCAGCCGGGACGGATCCCGACAATACTGTGGAGATCCACCCAACTGGCTGATTGACAGCTGGCTCTGCCTATCTAGAGGCAGAGCCAGCTGTACCCGCCCCCTCCCCGTTCGTTCCTCCAGTCAGCGCTGGAGGATCGGAGAAGGGAGGGGGAATCCCTGCATTGAGCGGTGACTGGCAGTCACTGCTCTCTGCAGGAAGATGACTGGGAAGTGAACGAGCGACTTTATGTATTCGCTCACTTCCCAATCAGTTGAAGCTGTCACCGGTCGGCTCTATGTCGCACGTCGGCTCTAACTATGAGGACGAGTGTAAAATCACTCACCTCATAGTTCTCCTTTAATGGGACTTCCTGGTATCGGGACTTGGTACCCTAGTAGAGGCTGCTGGGATAAGCTGGGAAAACTATAGAACAAGTCCAGTCTAATGTGACCAACTACCGGTACTACAAGCTACCGAATAATGATTAAAGTGGCCTTGCCCCTTCCACAACACACAGACACAGACGGAACCCAGTAAAAATGATAATTAATATTCCCCTTCCTGGTGAATGGTTGAAATGTTACTCTCTATAAGAGCTCGGTCTATCAGACACTTCTGGGTGTGTTGGTTAGCGTGTCCCACTGGCCACTGTGGTCCCCTCTGCTGACCCATACATCACTACTGTATTCTGTAGTGATGCACATTCGGTAGAAAGAACCACAGCGGGCATCGAGGGACATGGTGTCCAACGACCCTGCAAAACTCTGCGAGAGCAACATTTTCAACCCCTGACAGAAAGGGACCCTTCACCTTCTTATTTAACTAGGTATTGTCCATTTATGTTAGGAGGCAACAAGGGTCCCTTGATTTTAGCTAGCTTGTTATCCTGGAACATCACAAATCAGGGATCTCTCTTGCCTCCCGGTTGAAAAATGGAGCAGTGAAGGTGTGAAGTAATGGTGACTATGAGAAACCTGGTGGTAAGTGAACCTGTTACTTTACCCTGTATGAAAAATACATAGGTTCACTTTAGGAGTGACTTATTATTGCATCTCTTCTGCACAGCTGAACCTACCCTGTGAGCCCGATGACGACAAGCTGCTTCCCTCTTGCACAGAGCCATGGCATTGTCCAGTCATATGCTTAAGGCTTTCCGATTTGCTTGGCGATGCACATGCTGTACTGCGGCACTGCAAGGCTCCTCTGTGTAATGGAATACACTTCGGTCTTCTCAGTTCATTCCTATGTTCCCCAGAGAAGGTGGATTGAGAATACTCCGGAATACTCTCATCACTCTCCACAGGCAGGTTGGGAGTCCTCTGAAAGATCTTATGACTTTCACAAGAAGACAAACTACAGAGGCTGCTTGGCTTGTCCTCCTCACTCTGGGAGACACCGTAGGTGTAAGGCCGCACACTGCCCAACGCTGGGTCATTCACAAGGAGACCACAAATGGTAAACTTGTCCGTGTTTTCCTGAGGGCTAAGGATTGAATCCTGCAAGCTGGAAAGTAGATCAGAAACTGGTGGAAAGGACCCAGGGCCTGCATAAGCAGCAGCACAGGGATCGCTGCCGTCATATCCCATCTCCATCGAGGCCAAGAGCTCCTGCAGCCTTTTGATCTCATTAAACACCTGCAAACAAGAAGAAGGAAGAATCTTTTTAGTTTTAGAACGATGGTCACTTTTCAAAAGAACTTTTTTTAAATTAATTTTTGAATTACATACAACATTCCAGCGGCCAACCACACGCATTTTACTGTCTAAACCCATTTCAAAAGAAGCTGGCATATGTATGTCAACTCACACGAAACCTGTCATGGCAGAGATACAAGGGCATCCATGGCTGGCCACCTCCTGAAAATAATAGATGCCTGGCTGTCTCTGGCTTCAGCACACTTTGAATAACTAACCTGGAGCAAGCATGCAGCAAGCAAAGTAACAATCCCTGACCTGCATACTCATGCTAAGTCAGTAGCTCAAGGTTAGGACCCCCCTTCCCCCCCAAAAAAAATGCTTTGGCAGAAATGACCATTCACATTTATATGTGCCAGCTGTGTATTTAGCCGTGTGCCCGGAGATCTACTTTAAAGTAAAGCTTTCCCAAGAAAAAAATTAAGTTGTCTGAAATGTCAACCTCCATGTTTTTCGGTCAGCAAAGGTTCACGTTAAACAACCCATATTAACTGGTTTGAAAGAGGTATAGTGTATATAAGGTTATATCATATTCCTTATTATTAATCTCTTCAGTGGTGACATCATCTTCAAATCCTTTTCTTTACTGTCAATGAGAATGGACTAACCTAAGTGAATTATTTGGGGGTTCTGTGAAATGTTCCCAGTGCTGGGCCTGTTGCACAGTCCACCCTAGTACTGGATGCTGCAATGACAGGTGAATCAGTTTACAAAATCAGACTCATTCTGTGCTTCCACTAAACGCATGCTTGCAGATTTATCCAGCCTGCACAGAATCATAGTTTAGTGAATCACAGCTGTATGGATTCCTAACTTTTGGCTTTCTGCCGAGATCAAATGTGCACACAAACATGCATGCAAATCGGCGAGTCAAAAATTCTATGCTCACTGGAGTGACAGATTTGATATGATTGTGGCTTCACCTTGTGGTGAAATCTGGTACTGCAGCCTCTTTAATCATATTATAATATGATTAAAAGGAGAACTATGAGGTGAGTGCTTTTCACTCACCTCATAGTTCTAGCCGACTTGTGACAATGAGACTGTCACAGGTCGGCTCAGTAGATCGGGAAGTGAGCGAACACATACCGGCGTTCGCTCACCTCTCGATCCTGTCACAGCTCTCTGCCGTGACAGGGGAGGGGCTGGATTCAATCCTTCCGCTGACTGGCGGAACAGACGGGGGAGGGGGCGGGTAGAGCTGGCTCTGCCTCTAGATAGGCAGAGACAGCTGTCAGTCACGCAGCCGGGCGGATCCCGGCACAATTGTCGGGATCCGCTTCAGCTGCGGCGTCTTAGTATACCGCGAGCTATACTTCGGCGTCTCAGTATACCGCGAGCTAAAGCTTGCGGTATACTGAGCCTAGGGTGATGGGAGGACGCTAGTTTGCGTCCTCCCGTTACCCTAAGGAGAACTATGGGGAAAAGCCTTAACCCCATAGTTCTCCTTTAATAATTTAAGAGATTATTTTCATGCAATAGTCCTTTCCACTCATGTGAACTATGGGAACTGGGTACAGGAGGGTGCATGCTGTCCACATTACCACAACGGGGAAACAAAGCAAAATAATAAGAATGAAACAAAAATTGTGAAGAAGCTTTTCAAATTTGTAACCAACGCTCCCATAGAATCTAAAGTAAAATGTGCACACAGCAAATTCATGTAGCATAAGACAATCAGGTCTATTCATTAATATAAAAAAAAACAAAAAACTGTGTGTCAAAGATTCCTGTTTGCCCCAGTGATTGGTGGATATGGTAAAATGTGGGTATTCTTAGTGGATTGTGATACCTTTTCATATCTTCCACCATCACCTTGTTTTTAGTTTTGTATATAGTGGGGAAGGTGTTCGGCACAGTGGCTTCAACCTAGAACTCCTGCCAACTTTTTATTTGTTTAGAGGGAAGTGGAAGAGAGGTGCTGAATACGGATCCCCAAAATTCTAAGAATATAGTCCTTAATGGAGCCACACGGTCTGCTCTCCACAAAGGGTGGATCTCTACAGAGACTGTGGTCACCTGAGTTGAGAAGTCTCTGTGTACAGACATCAAAAGGAGCACCAGATGTCCAAAAAGTATTTATTTCCTCTGACAACAGGACAATAGGGGTGGTGCTCAATGCATTTCGGGGGCCAAACCATCCCCCTTCATCCGGGCTTAAAGAGGAACTGTATCCACCAATTTAGTGTCTCCCAAAAAAAATTTTATTTCAAGGCATACCAACTGCTGCCAGCATGCTTATTTCAGCTCTCAACCCAACTTTCAGGCCCTCAAATAGCTGGTGTCATAGCTGATCACATGGGCAGCACCATGTCAACTGCAATCCAAAAAGAGGCTGAGATGGCGCATTCCTTGGCTGTAAAGAATCGAAGGTTGTAGTTCCGCTTTAAGCACGTATCAAAATATCAACCTGGCTCCTGGGTTTGGTGCAATCTGTTTGCCCCTGCTTTGGGTTTTTATACACATAACCTTTACATTTCTGTCTGCGTCCCCACTGGGGAGAACAGTCCGTGCTCCCATCGCACTCAGAGCCGCCGCTCCAAAAATGTAGGGTGGGTGCAGCAGGTGGCTTCCGACAAAATATCAGTGAAAGATGGAAACCGGCACTCCAAAGCAAGTTCAATACGTGTTTATTAACGTACTAGTTGCAAGTAGAACACTCTAAAACAACGTTTCGGGGGCTCACAGGATCCCCTTCATTAGGCAAACAAGCAATGACTTGTTTGATCACTTGTTTGCCTGATGAAGGGATAGAGATACTGGGATCCTGTGAGCCCCCGAAACGCTGTTTAGAGTGTTCTACTTGCAACTAGTACGTTAATAAACACGTACTGAACTTGCTTTGGAGTGCCAGTGTCCATCCTTTACTTCCACTGGGGAGAATTCTCTCACTTTATGTTCTTTCTTCTATCAATCAGTGGGACAGGAAATTAGAAAAAACGTTAAAATAGGGACACCAGCAGCAAAGAAAAAATACCACCAATTCCCCACTCCACTAAAAAGTTGTTTTATTTTTAGTGTGCTTGTTGGGGCACATTCTTCACTTCCGGTTTTGTTTGCCAAAGAGCCAAAAAGGAATAATAGTCCTAACAAGAATATTGAGAATATAAAAAAAAGAAGACTTGGCCCCCGTTTGACACATTGGAGGGATCAAAACTGAAGCAGACAAAATCTGGAGCAGCTGTGCACAGCAACCAATCAGCTTCTCTCTTCAGTTTGTTCAGGTAAGATTTGAAAATGAAAGAGAGAAGCTGATTGGTTGCCGTGCACAGCTGCTCCAGATTTTGTCTGCTCCAGTTTTGATAAATTCCCCCAATTCTATTGGAATATTTACATTGATAAATACTTCTGTTTGCACTGAAATACTTGGGCCAGGGATTCAGTTTATATATTCATGGACATATAAAAGCGACTAGTTACCTCCACCATGCGTGGGCGCTTCTTCTGACGACCCAAGCACCGGCAAGCAAGCAGAGAAAGGTCTTGGGCGACCTCTAAAGGGCAGACTCCAGCCCGTAGATCCAGATGCTGGTGGCAGATACGAGAAGCGGCCCTGGACTGCTTGTTTTCTGACACTTTGCTGGCTCCTTTTATTGAACTGGATTCAAATTCCTGGTCGCTCTCCTCTTCATTAACTAAATCCTTCTGTAAAGACACAGCACGCAGTGATTATGTATACATTGTGAGGAAAATCATGCTTCTACATACATGTTTTAAACACATTTAAAAACATTTAATTTTTCCATAACATACTTACATTGAAATGCTGTGTGCCATAATCCCAGCAATGTCAGTTCCTGTTCCTGAGAT